TTTCTGTTACCTGGAGGCTAAGCTTCAAGAAATCTTTCCCTTACTAAGGCAAAAATGCTTCAGTGTTACTTGGAAAGGTGAGACACCTTTTACAACCATTTTGTTTTACTATTTATAATTCTGATGCAACATTATTGACCATTTACATTCACTTTCAAAGCAATTATCACATTATACATATAAAAAATTGTATTCTTTACTGTAAATTAGTAAAGAAATAGATTAAATATCCCTGTTCATCAATTCACAATATTGTTTTGCAGAATGGAGTAAATTATTCACTTACATGTTTAAATTTATAGCTTGGTATTATGAATCACCACTCTGAATTTTTTTTAATTCAACAAACAAAAGCCACAGATATACATTGAAAAAAAAATATAAAAATTATTTTCTTCCAGATGAGGATGGTGATGATATTACTATTTCTTCTGATGATGAAATGATAATTGCATTATCATCTATGACTGATACTGTCATGAAATTGAATATTTACTGTAGTGAGGATGAGCCTCAGGAAATTAACATTGATGTGGAGATTACTGCTTCAACTGAGGATGCTACTGGTAACGGTACTGTAGTAACAAATTTCTTTGTATTTACACACAATCATCAGTTTTGGTTATTAATATTTTGAATTGGAATAATCTGATTATTTTTAATTTTTATGAAATACAACTCATTAATATTTAAGCAAATGAATATGTTGAATTTGTACAAACATAGACATAATTTTATTTATTGCAACAAAACTTTAATTATTTTGTCCGACCAATGTTATTTTATCTACACTGTCTTATTATATAGCTTATCTTTGAATTCTCATTAAAAATAAGTACATTGTTGTCATGGTTGTCATTTATACTATTTTCTTAGTTATTTTATTATTACATATTACTTTATTATACTATCTTTCAGGAGACAAAAATGCAGTTCATTGTGGGGTTGTTTGCGATGTCTGTGATGTACCAGTGGCGGGATTCCGTTACAAGTGTGCTATATGCCCTAATTACGACCTCTGCTCTAAGTGTGAGACAGATGGCCATCATTCTCAGCATATCATGGTGCGATTTCCTATGCCAAAAATGTCTGTAAGTAATTTCATAAAGATTTACTATTTAATACAAATTAAAATGTTACTGGAAAAGTTTGTATTTAAAAACTATAAGTGTGACATTTACAAAAAAAATTTAAGTTATGTCTCGACATATTTCAGCGATCATTGGTGAAGGCAGCTATGAAACGTTCCCGTCATGTTATGAAGTCTATGAACAATGCTGCGTCAGATGTTAAGGAACTTTACGAAAGAGCCAAATATGAGAGAAGTTGCGAGAAGAAGCGTCATCATGGTCGAGGCGAACACTCTCGCCGCTCTGCGCCATCCTGGTTAGATATCTTCAACTCATATTTAAATGAGTTTGCTGATCTTGCTGGCAATGGTGGTCTTGATACCAATAAAGATAAGTCTCCGAAACCTGCTGAATCAGGAAGCCAACAGCAAACTCAAACCGGTGAGAATGCTGCAACATCCACATCTAAACAAGATGGAGAAGCTGCTGAGTCAGAGCCTCCTTATGCTGTTAACATAGATAAGGACAAAGTTAAAAATTTTCTTCGAGTACTAAATGAAATGCGTGATGTAGACTCGGAAGGTAAAAAGGTTGAGCAGACGAATGTGGATGCTGTAGGAGGCACGGGAACTTCTGATCAAACATCTAAAGCTGTCGATGAGAATGCAAAGGCTGAAATATCATCTACAACTAAGGATATCAATGAAGCTTCAACTTCCAAAGATGTGTCTCCTGAGAGGGCTACAGATGAATGGACTGTGATTAACAAGGAAAAAGGTACTAATATTTCTTAAATTTTAACTACAATTACAATGATAAATGTTCTTATAAAGTTCTTTTATTTCAGATCTGATAGATATGGAACAGAAACCAATGGATACGGATCAGAATTCAAAGGATATGGAACAGAAACCAAGTGCACCACCACAAAAAAATGTGCCTATCGGTTACACTCTGCCTCAAGAATTCCAACAGCATCTTCACATTTCGAAGGAGCAACTTTACCCTCCACTGCACACTGCTACTGCTGGTAAACATTCTACATTATTATGGTATTCTCTTTGTATATGAATTTTTGAATAATAAATTTTTGTAATTTTTAGTGTTGAATCCTAATGAGCCGCAGATGACCCCATGGGAAATGTTGACTAAGCGATGGGAGACTGAAATTGCTAAACGTAGAGTGCAAAATGACTTTGAAATTGACCCGATCCAAACTGAGCCTCAATATCAATCTCATAGCTTCAGGTCCAATAACCAAGCTACAAGACAAGAGCAGACTCAACCTCAGAGCTTTATGCCCAATAACGAGGCTAAGACTGCAGCACAGCAAACACAACCTTGGGGTTTCAACCCCAACCATGCTAAGGCTGGACCACACCAGACTCAAACACGTGACTTCAACCAGCCTAAGGCTGGACAATCACAACCAAAGGGATTCAAGCCGAATAAAGCCAATAACGACAAGTCTAAGGCTGGACCGCAGCAAACAGAGCCGGCTCAGAGTTCCCATATTAGTGAGTATCACTTCGCAATATTAGCCACTTTGTCTTTCTAATAACAATGATGTTATGGCACTAGCATAGCCTGCGTGCGGAGTACGAAAAAGTTTCTAAAATGATCTCTTGGTGAAACGACCGTGGTGACAAATATACTAGTGTAAAATACAACCTATGTGTACAAGAACAATATAACTTTAGTAACAAAAGGTTTATAATTCCTTAAAACGTCAGTCGTTATATCCGTGGGAGCGAGACGCTAACTATTTAGGACAGAGCAAAAGAGATGTTTTTTAAACATTATAAAGAGTAATAATTTGTATCTTTGTATTGAAATATAACTCAAAAACTACTAGACCAATTTGAATAAATTCTTTATTCTTTTTTAATTTCATGCAAAGTCGCGTGCAATAGCTGGTTAGGTGTAAAATAATAAATTAAGACATTATTTTACCCACAGAGCCGCATATTGCTGCTGCGATACAGCAGATGCTGGCTATGGGGTTCAACAACGAGGGTGGCTGGCTCACACAACTGCTGGAAGGCACTGGGGGCAACATCGCCGCAGTCATTGAACTGCTTACACCAGTTAAGCCAAAGTAGATTCTAATACATTCTATTCCGCTCTTTTCAATATTGTAGTGAAATATATTCATATTGCTTAATCATAGAAATTTAAATATTCAATTTGTCAACGCATAATTCGATATTCATAGCATCGTAAGGTAGTGGAGATATTTGGTGTTTAATTCATATTTGATCAATATTTACTTCTCATAGAAATTTAATCTTTAAAGGCATTAATATTCTTAGAATTATAAGGTAGTGGAAAAATATTTTTGGTGTATAATTCCTTTTAAATTCATATTTAATCAATATTCATGTTTTAAACATTTTTATTCTTAGAATTATATGGTGGTAGAAATAATATAAATGTATTCTTTAGTAACTTAGCTATCCCTTTAGCTGAAATAAGTAAAAACAACTTTTCTGCAGCTAATATGCTGGTCTGGTAGAAACATTTCGAGATTATAATTTCGTACATTGAAATAATAATAAATTTGACATGACATGTTAATTAAGATTGTAAAGCACATGGAAAGTGATCAAATTTCTGTCTTAATTATTTGATTGCATTTGGTTTTTCTTATATTGTGATGTATTGATCTCAACCTTTGATAAAAAAATTAGAGAAAGATTTACCATTTATCTGTTGCTTAGTTTTTTTTTATATAGATATTTAGTATACCTACTATGTAGTATGCATAATTCTGTATATTCTATATCAATAAATAAATAAATCTTAAAGATCAAATGTTGTTTTATTTCAAAAAACCATATGAGTGTTTCTTACAATCAGATGTTTCTTTTTTCTCACGTAGAAGGGCACGACCAAGAGCTTCATCCAAACAGTATGCAGCAATCCTGAAACAAATTTTTGTATCAAATCATAAGCAAAACAGCATTCTTAACATAAAACTGAATAACTAGGCATCATTTGCGACTGTCTGCTTAAATGTAAACTTTAGTAGCCTGTGTCTTCGTGAGAGTCAAAATAGCGGGTGTACCATCGCGAATTAAATTATACCACTTACTAAAAAAATGTACCTAAAATGTACTAATTAGTACCTCGCTCAAAAAAAATTGT